ACCACTTTAATTCTAAAACTTAATTAGGAGTCAACATTTTTTCAACGTATATTTTTATTATTCATACATTTATTAAAATTCTTTATTATTTGAAATTTATGAAAGCTAAAAGAATCTCAATTTTTAGTTAAATCTTAATATTTAAATTACAATTATATTTTTTAAATTTAATGTGATATTTGTTGTTGTTTATTTTGTACAAGCAACTCAATGTCATCGATATTTATGAAATTAGATAATATCAAATGAACTAAACTAAATAATACCGAATGCAAATAGTAATAAAAATAATAATTCCAAAACATTTCTTCGCGTACCACCTACGAGCCTCCCGCGTACCACGGGTTGGGAACCCCTGCTCTAGATCAGTGGTCGTCAACCGGTGGTTAGAGAGAAAACTCAGATGGTCCGCAGAAAAATTTAAACGTCACTCACAGAATCTTTTTGTCGTTATTTCCCCAAAAAAATAGAACCCTAGACATGATGTTATGTGGATAATAGATCCATTCGCAGCAAACAATCAAAATAACAAGTCAAATACGACCGAAAAAAAAATAAAATACCTCATCGATTTATTTAACGGTATTTATGTAAAAAGCTATTTCAAGCTAAAAGTGGTCCGCAGAGTTTTGAGCATGTATTTAGAGGGTCCGTGAGGCCCGAAAGGTTGGCGACCGCTGCTCTAGACGATCGCATTTCGATCCGTTGCCCTCCCGCGATGCGATTCGAACGATCGCGGTACGCGGTTCCTTTGCACGCGAACACATTGAGATTTTCCACGGTTTCCAAGCGCTTTTTCGACGACGTGTTACGTTTACGGGACGCGGCCGCGCGATACCGCGTACACAGACGTAATGCCATATAATCACGGATCGCATTTCATCCGTGCGCCACGGTGTATGATCAGATCTATGAAAATATGTTCGATCGATTCGTGTACCAGACGCGAGCAACACGTTACGCACGCAAGGCAGCCGGCCACCATAGGCGGAGTGGACGAAAATCTCGTTTCCGTATACGAATACGAGCACTTAATTTCCGTGTGTTTAAAATAAAAAAAAAAAAACCCAGCCCGGTTTTGGAATGTTGTTTATTAAGTTGCGACCAGGCACCGTTGTTCGTCCTACATTCTTTCGCCCATCTTTCATGTGACCACGCTGTATGCGTTTCGTTGCCGGGTAAGCGAACACGGTTACCTCTACCGCCGGTCCGCCGCACCGCAGTCGACGTTAAGTCTGAGCCAATCGATTGCGCATAATAATCGTCATAGCCCACCGGCAACGGAACGTTTATTCCCGCAACTCGACGAGGACGATTTCCCGACGACGGACGTCCAACAATTACTAACCAAATGTACAATATTGTACGTCGTCGATATACGTTTCTGCGGCGTACACGCCCGTCCGCCGTAACGAATATCTGATCATTTTTTTTTTTTTTTTTTCACCGTACAGGAGTAGCGCATTCGTTTCGTTGAGCGTTTGGACCCGTTTTTATTTTATTTTCTTTTTTTTTTCTTTTATTTCATTTAAGTAGGTAAAATATAATAATAGTAATAATAATAATAATAATAATAATAATACACTCGTATGTAAGAAATACAAAGTGCGTTTATACACGTTATACGTTTTTACTCGCACGCACACTGTACACAGGAGTAAAATATTTCAAAAATATTATTCAAATGAGCGTGTATGTTAAACGATCTCGACTTATAATACTTCCAAACATTTTTCTACTGTTAATTATTTCGTTCCAATTTACGCTCCGCAGCCTCATTAGTTTTAATACTGGTACAATACACTCGAATTCGATAACACAACTCTTTATATAATGCAGGTATAGGTAATGTAACCAACTGCTTTCGCGGAGTTTTTATCATTATTTTACAGCAGATATTCGTGTAAAATATTATAGTTTCAGATTTAGGTCAACGTTAAATTAAAGTTGGACGACAATAAATGGGATAATAAAAATTTAATGAACCAGAATCGTTCTTAAGTCATTAATTTTCGTGATAACTGCCATGGAGTAAATAATAATATAAACATAATTTTAAAAATTATTGCGTTATCATTATTAAGCATACAGTCATTATATGTGAACTTAGACTAATATGTACATTTTAGATTATAGATTTTAGAATTATATTGGATTTTTAGTGAGATAGCGAATCCTTTCTTGAAGATAACGTGCACTTTGAAATCTTATACCGTGAAGTATGAATAAATAACTTGACATAGGCCTCGTTGGTAACCTTCTCAAACTGTACATTAATTACTCGAATTAATATATCGAACCTTGATAATATTCTTTCGGTCTCTTTTGTACTCGAATTACTCTCACCACAATCGAGCGAGTCACAAGGTATACAAGTGCGTGTTTGATGCATGTATTGTTATTTAAATAACTACCTGAAATAAATACGTCTGATCGTTCACCATAGGCATTACACAATTAACTGCAAGTATTTCACCGATGATTTCACGGCGAGTTAAATGCTCATCTTGGTACGTTCAAGTCGACTTTTCGTCACACTCGTCGACGAAATAAATTATAACTGCGATGGTTTTGCATAATATGTACACACACATATAAGATTCCCAACTGCATAGTTTTAGTTTTCGGGGTAAAAAAAACATTTTTACATGATACACCTCTATCGGCTCTATCAATTTTGAAATGTAATACAGACCGTACCATAAATAGGTCATTTTTTCGGAATGTTTCAAATCGTTTCAATACATTTTCAGAGAACTGTATAAAACATTACAAAACCCAATAATTGCGGTTACTGGTTTGTGACCAGTGTCTACTCGGTAAAAAAAAAATCGCATAAGTGTTTGTTTCTTCAATATTTATATCATTCCGTTAAAAATGTTTTTTAGTATTTATTATCGTTGTATTCATTTATAAGAAAATGGTACATGTAAATTAATATGAATGGACGGTTTTCAATATTACACAGTGATGAAACAAACATCTATTGGTGTTTCTTAAAAACACAATTTTTCCAAAATTAGGTTGTGCAAAATCGACTCGTTTTGACGTTATATTATTTTATCGTTTATAATAACCGTGCCGTGCAAAATAAAAATCTACCTACATGTTTTCAGACTAATAGTTCCTCCGTTCGCATTTTAAACATAAATTTTATTTATCTACATAAATTCATTACGTAAATTATGCACACATTTTACCATAGGGCGGTTCATACGGGTTTCCATAACTGCAAGCCAGTTCAACAGCAATTCACCTTGTTCCGCAATACGAACGTTTTCAGTAGAATTGGAAAATACGAGAATATTTAATTGCGTATATAATTTTTTTTTTTTTTTTACTACGCAATAAAATAAATTTGACAAAAGTGATATTAACAGCGCGCGGCTTGTACTATGATAATCAATTGATCCACGCGTTTTCTTCGCGTCCTTTCCGCCTCTTCGACCTCCGCCATATAGCGGATTGAACAGCCCGGGAACGGCACTGCGTACATACACGTAGAAATTGTTGAAATAATTCAATATTTCTCTCCGTATATCGAAGCGCACTGATATATAACTACAACGATTTTCGGAGCCCAAAAAACGTATATATACATAGGCATTTAAGCAAGTTACATAAAACTACTTTTAACTCCCACGACGAATCACATGAGATGTATACCACAAACTGTCCTACTAAAACACTGTTACTAGAAACGCATATAAGTATATATATATATGTCGTTCTGTTGATAGTATCATGCCGTAACGTACAAATGCATAGCGTTGGCCAATTCCGTTCTATAGACGAGTAAAATGTCACACCCTAGTGACCTTTAAATGATACTGATACTACAATGTCATTTTACTCCATACAGGTGCGGGCCAGGCTGAAAACGATGAAAGTGGGTTAGGTAACTAACGTTTTAAAAGGTCTAAATCGCCGTGTGATAAGTATCTGATAGATGTATACTTTTAACCATAATAAATCGTAATATACAGAGTTTGACCCAGATCATTCGCAATTCTTCGAATGTGGTTTCGGCTGCAGTTTGATTATACAATTGGCATTAAAATCATTGGCATTATTTGAAGGAAACGTACCGGAATGGTCACAGCGAATATTTTTGAATTAAAACATTTTGATTACTGTATTTTTTTTTTTATTATGATACATCATTGAGCGTGGGAAAAGGGCGTACCTTGGATATTTAGTGTATTGAACACTTTATATTATTCGGAAAAATGTATGGGTTGCATACATATGCAGCTCACGTTGTACCGTAATGTCCTATGAAATACATTTCGAATAACCAAATTGATGATTACGTTTTCAATATGCGTTTGTACTATTTATAAAAAATTAAAATAGTATGCTTAAAATCATAAAACAATCATAATAATACGCTCATTACAAAATACAAAAAACAATAAAACCAACCTCAATAACGTGCTATAACCTAGTCATAGTTAAAATCACATGAATACGGTGATTAATTCAATAATTGTATGTAATAAAACAATTCATGGTCTTGAGATTGTTATACCTCTCACGGTTCTATAGTAATTTTATAACAGGATATTTTTTTATTTAAAATTTAAGGCGCCTGATAATATATACATATGTAATTTCGTGCAATACATGTACTGAGAGATTATGATGAATTTTTAGTGAACTGGTTGATTTGATATAGAATGTAATAAAAAAAATGTACTTTAAACACCGTGATGTATAAAATATTTAAATTATATGAACCACGTAAAACATTAGTTCTGGCACTCTCTTTCAAAAAATCTATTTATATTAAAAAAAAAAAAAAATTATTTCAAAGTGTCGAAATAACTATAAATTATAATTTGTTCGTTGATAGTATTGTGTAATATCGTTACAATACGGTGGTGTGTCTGATTACTCTAAATGAGCTCATAAAATTCACAAAAACAAAAATAACCAACTGTATTTATTTATGACTATTTGATTTATACAACATTTAACATTGTTCTATTTTGTTACAGATTCATCTTGCTGGCATGAGGATAAAAATATATACGGCCATTTTCCTGGTCGTCACTCTTCCATACGTGTTGTCTCAGGTACATTAAACTATAGTAACCAACTATGCATAGATACTCATTAGTCATTATATACTTATTATAATAAACTCGTTATAATATTATTAACATCCGGACACAAAATTTGTACTGCGTTACGTCAACGAACATTATTATTGTTCCTGTTACCTAAGGATACGTCTATAATAAAACAGCTTCGTTGACAATTTTATTATTCAGCCTATTCAATATTATAATGTATAATATAATCTGCAGTCTCCATTGCGGCTCGTGGTTACGTTAAGACGTTCACTTCAAATTAAGCATAATGATGTAACACTTTTTTGTACTCTTTATTCTTACCTTTTATTATAAGACTAGAAATGGAATGAATCAAAAGATTCTAGGGGGAAAGTGTTTGTAGGATTCTTAATGAGTCTATTCCCTACTTCCAAAAACATAAATTTATCTTAAAAGTTTAAAAATTGTCTTCAAACAAACGAGTCGCATTTATTTTAAAAATAACCTTCGTGTAAACTATTACAACTTTCAGTAAACATACTTCAAAATTCAAATGCATACATTATAAGCGATATTTTGCTAATATTTTAAATTCATAATATCGATTGGGATTATGATCACTGCATTACTAAATAATTATTCATCAAACAGCGCCGTATAAAAAGTAGGAAGTGTCGCGTAATGCAGTCTCTCCGGTTTACTAATTAGAAAGGTTTCAGTATACATAGTAACATTTATGAGCGTCATGTTGTGTTGTATATATATAAATTTGGTCAGACACAGGACATACTGTACAGGGGTATAATAACCTTGTGAATGAATCGTGTCAAAAATAGTTGACCGCCCCTAATTTCGTTGTTATTTCAAGAACCTTGAGAAAAAATTAATTGTTTTTACTATCCTTAACCCAATAATAAAAAAAATAACAACAGCAATAAAAATATCGATATTTCGTTAACACATGTCGAGACGCGTATACCACTGGAATAACTTTCGACGTCTTACGGAATAAATGTGCGAGTGCACATATATTTCCGTGTACCATTAATCAGTCTCTTGCAGTTATGCCTTTATTTAACGTACGATATACTATACATTCATACCTATATACCCACTGTGAAAGTGGCACGGCTACATCACGACGGAATAATGTCTATAAGAACACCTTTATAATACGTTTCTTAACGGAATTGACTGTCGTGTATGTGCTCTGACAACATTATATGTACATAAATGCGTGTGTGTGTGTGTGTGCGCCCTCCGGAGGCAATCTGCATAATTGATGCAGCCGCGTATGTTTGCGATTAATTTTTTTCTCCTTCGCATACCTTCCGCGCCACACGTGCACACAAACGTCCAGTAAAGTTACGTCATTATTGTTATATTAGAACCGTTTAAGCATTTTAAATAATCGATTTGACGATACAAATACAAACACAACGTACACGGGGCGGAATATAATATAATATATTTGTACACGTGCGATCGTTACGACCGTATATAACGTTGAATAATACGATGTATGTATAATATAACGTGTACACTATTATAATATAGCATATTATGTGCTCGGGTGTGTATTGGTTCTATATTAGCATATATCAGAGGCATCCAAACTTTTTTCGGCCACGATCTACTAAAAATATACTTCACCTTTGAAGATCGACTTTCTTGGAAAATTTTTTTTTTATTATTAAATAATTATAATTATTAAGAAATATAACTTGCTTAAAGTGTATATAAACATACATAAAATATTATAAACTAATTACTAATTACTAAAAATAATATAATATACAGATAAAACTTATCGACAATTTGTTCATAATCGCCACGATTAATTTTCGTGTACGTGGCCTAAAAATAAATTCTAACATGATCGACTCTGAAATCGTCCGCGATCGATCGTTTGGCCGCCCCTGGCATATAATAATATTAATAACATGAATAAAATTGATCCGAAACGTGTGTAAGTAATACACTTGTATACTTCTCAACAAATCGTTCTTCTTCCACACCCCGTAGTGCTGCAATAAACGGTTAAACATTATACAACGTTATAAATAATATTATGATTTAACGACTCTAATATGTTTCAATGACATAATACATAAGTACAGTGAAAATGAGGCGTTAAGGATAGATTTTTCTTCATTTATTAGTAAGCGCATAACTCGGGAAGAATGTCTACTGTTATATTTTAAATATTTTTCATTTTATTCATTACCTAGGACTATATTTCCATCGGAAATACGTATCGACAAGCCATTGAGTATTAATTCATAATATAAAAAATATTGAAAGTTTCGTATTATTGACAAACGTTGGTAATCTATGAACATGTTCCTAATATTATGCCGCTGCAACTGCAACGTCGAGATTTTTGTATTTTTTACATACACGCATGCGTAATGCGTTAGTTTATTCGAATGTAAATATTTTATTTATTAATTATTCCGATTAATATTTTCAACCGTAAGAAGTAAGTATAGTAAAGCGCAGTTATTTTCCAAAAAATTATTATTTGACCAGCACACGTAACAGACAAGCAATTCTCGGGTTACTCATGTATCTACGAATGGCTAACCATCTAATTTTTTTTCTAAATCTAAATTGCTGATAGCATTATATAACCTAAAAACATGAAATAATAACTCGTTGAAATATTTTTCCGATAAACGTGATTTTTGTCTAAATTATAAAAATAAAAATTGTTCTTCGAGACAAAAAGTTATCTATATACTATTATACAAGACTTCGATGATTGGATTTTTTTTCATCACATTATACTCGAGCGTTGAATTTGTTTTGTAAACCTCTACCCTTTGAATTTATTATACTGAATGTTTAATAAAAAAAAAAAAAAAAACAACGAGCACGATATTGCATAATGTAACAAGTGATGATGTATTAATAATATAATGGTGACAATACATGACTCGTTAATTACATGGACGCTTATTGAATTTTTTCTTTTTATTCCGCTAGAATTAATGGCTAAACAAATAGCCCCCCCGATCAATACAATAATAATGCAACGGTATGAAAATAGTTACGAGTAAAATGTATTAAAGCGTAGTACATATCTTCATTTTTCTAAAGGCGTAAAATGTATTATTTCCAATAAAAATATAGTCATAAATTGTAGTATAGACAATTGAGACAATGAACGGCATTAAAGTTGTGTTGCGTGTAGACTCCCATAACTAATTCTGCAATGTTATATATTTTACTCGTATAGTACAAATCACAATAGTATCTTTCTTACATGTGAACCACCTTTTTATGTTGTCCTTGACTATTTGACCCCGTCGGCGAATGCGATGCAGTTGTTTTAAGAATATCATGTTTTTGGATTTTCAAATAAATACCACCGAAGGGAAAAAAGTGAACTGCTTAAAATATGTTTTTGTACTACATTTTTATATAATGATATGTGTTTCGAGTGCAGGTCCAGCAATTAAAAAAAACAATGATTTATACTTTCTATCAGTTTTTAAATCTATCTAACTTTATCTTAAAATTTAAACTATACGAATCAAAAATAAACAACCTTCAGACAACAAAATAGTGTAATTCTGTAGTAAATTATTAATATTGATATTTCTAGATTTAAAATTATTACTCACTAATTTATGTGTTTACTTATATTCCATATTCGAGTGTACTATGGTGCAAAACCGTTAGTAGTCTCATTACTGTGGTTAAGATATTATGGGCGATTGTAAATTCCACCGATTTACAGGTAATCGATTTTAGGGTTGGGTTTATAACATGTAAATTCCACTGATAATTTTTTTTTTATCTGAAAAAAAATGTAAATTCCACCGGTACGTACTTTTTACCTGATAACACCTAAACTCCTTTGAAGACACACATCCAAATAACTTTACAAAAGCTCGATTAGATATTAAATCATTCGCTAAAATTAAATTAAACAGCATTAATGAACCTAATAACCTTAGAAGTTCACAATCAAAATCACGCCAAAAATATTTAAACACCATAATTTTGGCATTCAAAGAAAACAATATTACCATTATGCAATTCGTCAAAGCTGCATCTAAACATTACCCAACCAAATTTTAAATTTTAAATTATTGTATCTAATTACACTAAATATATTATAATAAATCTATGTCCATATAAATTATGTAATCTTAATCAGATTGGCTTTGGATTAAAATTTTACCAACATAATGTTACTTTTATTTCAAGTAAAAAAAAACATATCAATGGAATTTACATTTTTTTTAAGACAAATAAAAACGTAACGGTAGAATTTACATGAATAAAGGTCTAAAAAGGTAGCAATCGATGGAATTTACATGCGCCCGATATTATACTTATCTAATATGTTACATAAAAGTTTAAATAATACAGGTTTATTTGATAATATTTAAACTTCTTCAATAAAAATCTACAATAAAATCTAAACAAATTTACTGTTAGACAACTATTATTTAATTTTTTTTTTTTTTTAATCCAATACATAGAAAAAAATTAAGTGGACTTATTACTACACATTATAATTTTCTCGTCTTACACGATAATTCTGTTAAAAATAATTGTGTTAAATGTATTTTTATTTTATATAGCGTTTGTGCATATAGAATTTATAATAATTGTACGTTTCCGTAAGACCGTATTTGGCGCGTGAATTTCCGAGTTTCTAATGGCCTTAATGATTTTATAAAATAAAATAAAAAATACAAGCAGACAAATTTAATAGTTCTATAGTTTTCTTACAATTAAAAAAAACCCCCACAAATAAATGTATACGATACATATTTTTTTTACGACTGACATGATTAAACATAATTGTTAATTGTTTAATTCGTCTGAAAAATTTTAATTTTTTTTTGTAATTAGTTCAAGGTTTTTATTTATACATAACTATATATTTTATTCGTATCTAACTGTACATATGCATTATCTTGAACCTTTAATGAGTTTAATTCGTAATTGAAATTGAATATTTAATTTTGAAATTCAGTAAAATAATTCATATTTGATATTAATTTGTACTTTACAGCGATAATACCACGTGTATAGCACATGTTTTTCTTGTGAACTGAAAATATACTTATGAAATTTGGTAATATATAAAGAAAGATTTCGTGTTAAGTAGTTGAACATTATACTCTTCTTATACAATAATAATTCTAATCAGTTTGAACACGATAAAATATATTATACACGTATAAGTTCATAAATTAACTTTTCTCTATGTGTTCGTTTTAAACAGGTATAATAAAATGTGCGGCTGTTTTATTTATTATGACACTCGATTTCTTTTCGTTTTTATTTATGATTGTACATGATGTATTGTTGATATATTATAGTACCATTGCTTTTTGTTTAATATTTTTTTTTCCGGGGATCATATGAATTATTATTTTCATTTTCACCCCGTAATTCTCAACATTGAAAAAACCAATTATCTATAATGGCTACTGTGAACATTTTATTTTTAACATCACATATGGACTGCAGTTTGACGTTTGAATCCCATCAAACGAAATATTGTTATATATACCATATTTAATGTCGTAAGTACAAAATTATAAAGCACTTCTCGAAAACATATGAAACTCAAAAAACGTGTAATATTTATGTATTGCAAAGTATCGGAGTACTATTTTTTCAGAAATTCATCAATCGTACCTGCGTTGTAACATACTTACCATATCATTCCGTCGTGTACGTATATAAAGCGGTTACAATCAATTATCACCATGTACCTAGTTGTTTAAACACTCGCGAATGCCCGCATTTCGCATTAGTTATAGTCCGTTATGCACATGTATATATTATTATAATGTTGCCCATGCCTACTAATTCCACGCCGGTTCCGTGGATAATATTTACGCACTATTTAGGCCGCTATACCAATCTCGCGTATACGAATGCGAATGCGGCTATAAAACGGTCAGTTATGGAGAGTTAAACAGTTTCATGTTAGAACATCATCCTGGATGCCCAGCGCGCGATTTAACCTACTTAAATTTTTTTTATATACCCGTATTTCGAGAACTATTTCGACTAAATAGTAACAATGAAAATGTATCGCGAAATATCAGATGATGTATAACAATAATATCATGTGTAGGTACGCACAAATAAGTAGTAGCTATAATAGGCCTGTGGCTTGCGCCCGTTTATACGATTTCGCGATTTCGATAAAAACGTATCTGACCTAGTATTAACACACGTATGTATACTTATATTTATGCGTACACGCAGTGCAAATCGGTCTAGTGAAAATATGTCAACAAAACGAGAAGCGTTTCTGATCCCATTAACAATTCGTGATGATAATACTAGGGTCAAATCGAAAATAAGACAGGTCAGCAATTTTAACGTAATATGCAGAGCCTGGTGAATTGGCATGTATTATATATGTGTATAGGTACACTTTAACGTAAATATCATCTCGATATGAACTAAATTATAGCAAACTAACACTATTACAGTATAGGAACTAAGGACCAATATAATATAATAACACTATTGTAACGAAACCATGCGAAATATTATAAGTATACAATATAATAACAGTTCGCCTATACTGCTGCACCCCGTCATTATTCGGAATACAAAAGCAAGGTGCCAGTGTTTATTTCAGACCTTCTGTTACCAGAGGTAATTACCTTCTATTATCGTACATTTTCGGGGGGAGGAGGTACGGTATGCCATAAGAGTAAATAATTAATAAATAATGACATTTTTTTGGGGGGGTATATATTTTTCTTCGGAGGTAATATCCTACCCCCTCTCGTTCACCACCCTGAAATAAACTCTGCGTGGTACTGTAGATAATTTATAATACCTTTATAGGCATTGTACCAAAAAAATAAAAAAAATACGTAACGTAATTATTTTACCTATACACTCACACTCCCACTGCTTTATTTAGGTGATGGTACTTAGGTAATAATTACAAATTTTAATTACCTAACCTAACCTAATCTCGAGTATAACATATTGACATCTAATTTATATTTATTGCTCTCACAATGGGTTTTCAATAAATCCAATACCCATTCATCCTGCATGATGTGATAGGTACCTGTATAATACCTACAACGTATATAATGGAATTTTTGATTTCCTTTGTAAGCGATCAATCATACACAGGATTATTCTGAAAACACTACGCACAACTAAAGTGTTAACTAATTACATAGGTACTTAATATGAACTATACTAGCTATATTATAGATGGGCTAAATAATATGTATTATATAGATAGGTTTTGCTGTAGGCTGGAGACAAGATTAATTATATATCCTAGAAGTGTTTGATCCAAACGATTTATGACTTTTAAATTTGTATGTAATTAACCGTTGTTTCATACACGCGTTCCCCATACAGGATAATATAGTCATATATACATAATATATCAACAATTTGATTACATTGAATCCTTACAGTTGTAATAATGAATAAAATGATACCCAAATGTTTTCTTTTTACGTAATTAATTATGAAACGAACACTGACAAGTGACAACGCTCTCAAGCCTATATACCTATATATTAACTAATCAAGTCGATTATACCTAAGTACCAATTACTATAATTACGTGTTGTATCACATTAGATGTCCTAATTATATGTCCTATTAGGTAAGACATTTTTACATTAATATATTAGATGATAAAGATTAAAAATGAAATTCATAAGATTAATTTCAAATATCTATCTGAATTTATTAGTAAGTTAAGGCAGGTAGGTATCGACTTATATATACCAAAATTATAAACAATATATAATACTAGTTGTTATAGCTTATATATTTTATAGGTTGAACTAGATTATATTTAATTATTAAACATGACGTGATAACAAAAGAGTTTATTAATTATTGAATTTAATGACTATCCGAAAACAATACAATACAATTAATAGATTTAGATAGGTACCTATTCGAATAAATTCAGAGTTACGTATAATATTAGGTGTACAACATTTTAAATTTCTGATTTTTCTTTGGTGGTATCGCAGATTACATTAAAGTTTCATGTACCTAATCTGTGGTGGTATCATACTCATAAAATATAACCGCAATTGTAAATTTTATATTAGCCGTTCATTAATTGTGAAAAATCGAATTTGGTTTAGTTACGTATTCGTATTTTCAATAAATATAACATTTAACACATCATAATAATTGTACTATTTAATTTTTTATTAACTTAATGAAATATCCTTATCATTATTAATTATAATATAAACATATTAAAAATTAGACTAAACCAAGTGTGTTTGGTTTAAATTAAATTGTTTTTCTTCATCTTACAACAATCCGGTATGGTCTAGTGGCTAGGATACCTGGCTTTCACCCAGGAGGCTCGGGTTCGATTCCCGGTACCGGAATAAAATTTTTGCGAATTTATTTTTCATATAATTACATTATTGTATGTATTTAGTATTATTTTATTTACACGTGTCTGTATTTTTTGTTTACAGATCCAAACTCCCGGAACTGGACTGTTTTCCTGTCCATCAGGTAAGATTTACATTTTTGTAAGTTCAAAAGTCCTTGCGCGTAGTGATACCAGTGTACACGAGCTAATATTACGAGAATGGTAACACCACCCGTGTTGCTCTTTTTTTGGTTGCAAAGTTCCGAAGTCGCTTAAATTTGTTCTCAAGACTCAGATCATTACGTAATCATTACGCTTTCCATGGCACTTTATTTCATACAGTATCTTTGTACAAGCGTAATATTATAATGTTTTTTGAAACTGCATTATTACAGTGTCGATTTTACGTTAGTGTTGTCAATACTATTATGGAACGCGATCATTATCGCGTCCAACGAAAACTAACATTTTAATCGGTTCGTGAATTTTCATCCTTTCACGCGTAGCCCGTTTCGGGTGTACGATATTATTTTCACACGTTGTATAACACGCGTTTTCAATCGAAATAATTATACGCGTAATGATTTCAATAGCCTCGTGTGCGAAACACTACACCCGCGCAACGTACTCTGGTGTATATTGTACAATAGAATCGGACGTGCGCAATGTTACGCGAACACATGCTAGTGGTATTATACGTTTTGATGAATATTTTAAAACGGCATATTTTCCCTCTAAAAAAAAAAAAAAAAAATAACCGGATCCAGCCCGGAACCGTTGATCGTATATCTGTGTATCGTTTCATAATCCCTACGCGGGAGCTGAGGGAAGCGCGTTAAGAACCGATACGTTCGTTTCTCCGATGCTGCTCGTGTGCGCCTCGTACGTTATGACTTACGACTCCCCGCGTAATGCATCGTCATATTTTTTCACTTAAAATGGACTACGAGCATTTGCCCGCGGCGTCGGTTGATTGTTTTAGAACGCGTGTATCCTTGCTGCGTATGGTGTGTGTGTGTGTGTGTGTATACACATTCTCCGCAGCCTCGTACCGCAGACGGTATTTGTTTTGATCGATCGTTCCCGGGTACGTTTTCAATTTTAATAACCCACCCGGGCCCGTGTTAAAGAAACGCGTTTTTCGTTCCATTTCATTCTGCCGCGCTCTGCGGGGCCACACGTCTTTCGAACACCGCATACCGCGCGTTCGTGTCGGTCGTTTGACTCGCGCACGCAACCTGACCGTAGGCACCGCTTCAACGGAATGCAACTGCTGCGCTCACCACCGTTGCTGGTGCAACAACAACGCGTCTCGCCTGACGTGGTAACGTAACGCGTTCGGTTTAGAACACGGTTACCGCGGAGGGTTACGGCGCGTCGGATTTTATCATTAACGTTACCAATCAAAATGTTTTATGTTTTTTTTTTTTTTTTTTGTACGACGCGTAACTATTTTAAACGATACGGTGATCGCATTCGCAAACAGTGACCCGTGGCGAGTGCGGCGAAGGCGGGCAGCCACAGAAACCGAAACGTGTCCGACGACCCCGTCGCTGTAGACTATGCTATGCGGGCCACTCCGAGGGATACGTTCAGAACCTGTGCCTATGAACGGCCTGTTCACGTAGTCGGCAATCGTCAACAAATCGAGTAACATCGGTGTTGTAGAATTCCGTTGTAGAGAGTAGTCGGCAAATTTGTACGTTTATAACCCGCCCCCGTCAATGTTTGTTGGCGGTGGCCCTAGATACGCACCGGTCTCGTCCCGCGGAAATCTAGGGACACCGAGAACACGCGGAAGGAGAGGGACCGTGAGCGGACGGCGCACGAAAATAAAAGGGATCGCGGCGATCACGGGGTTCAAACCGAAATGTCGCCGTCTTCGATGGTCACCTTATGCCGTGCCCTCCTCTTGGATAAACGCAGTTGCGCTCACAATGGCCGGATACTCGTCCGTCGTCCGTGTGCCCGTTCTTCTCGACTGACCGTAAAAATATTCGCTGCCGCCGCTACCCGGTTGTGTAACCCTGAGCCCGACGCGTGCTGTATACAGACCGATCGAAAAATTTATACTTTTTCGTTCGTAAACCGCCAAACGGCATCGATCTCGCCGTCGACCGTTTGCGAACCGACGACCACTTCCTCGTGCCGAGATCATCGCGTGCGCAATACGGCAAATTGAACGCCGTAGATTTTTCATGCGGTCGTCGCAAGTCGGACGACTTCCTGATGGTTTTCCTACAGAGCACCGTGGTCATTTGTTGCGCGACCGTTTTCTCAACGCTTGTTGGACACGTGTTTCAGAGCAGGGGGACCCGTAGAAGTGATTTTTACCAATAATGATGTACTATGGTCAGTGCCGGTTTACCCAATAAGCGGAGTAGGCGTTCCCCTTAGGGCCTTACTCATTTAAGGGGACCTGTGAAAACGGAACATTATATTTTTTATTATTTAATAATACCTGTATTTTATTTACGAATTTACGGGAAAAAATTCATTATGAAGTATATATACATATTAAGTTGTGGATGTTATATGCTGTAATAATAATAAAATTATTTTGAAAAAAATAGAAATAATATGATAATTATGATAATTAATTTTTCTTGCAAATAAAAATATTCAATAAACATGATTTTATTTATTAATTATAGTTGGTTATTATTAAAACTGTTTACTTTAATTATTGGATAGTAATGTTAAAAATGCCTAGGGGCCCACAAATGTTTAATCTGGCATTGACTATGGTACATACCACATCGTTGCGCATTATCGTTTTGAAGAAGATTAATAATCGCCTCCCCTCAAAAACAATCAATTATTGCCGTGCGGTTGTAAAAATAATAATCCGTTTATTGGCCGTTGCCAACGATTCACGGTAGTGCTCAAGAACCACGGAAGCGGCGTCTTCAGTGCCCGCCGAACAGGGAACGGTTTGTCAAGATCCACGGGGACTAAACGTTTCGTCGAGGTTTACCGCTGGATTCGTACGACATGTAAATTATAGGATAATTATTCTTTTTCGATCTCTCCGTATAATAATCATACAAGTACATGCTTAAAAACGACGACCGCGATAGCGTAGCGTTTAGAAAACCCGGTTGCTCAACATAATATTGTAATACGTGATGTAAATTTAGTACTGCAAGACATTTTTTTTCCGTTCGGATCGTGTACGCGAAACATCACAATGGCGTTTAAATTTTCCTTGCTCAATTCCGATTACGTTTAACAATGACCATAACAAGTGTTCTCCGCCGCGTGCGTATACTTTTACCAATGTCATGGATTCGAATTGCTGCTCGGCATAATTTGTTCTACGTCTTCGCAGGAGTGGAAAACTTTAGTTGTTTATTTAATGGTCATTATTTTATTTATTTCTCATTAAAACGTTGAAGTATAAAAATTTTATGTTCTTTTTTTCATCCATCGAAATACGTTCTAAAATCGAAAAATTCATACCCTTACAATCCGTGACCCTGAAAAAAATTTAAGGACCCCTTACTTTACACATCATTTCTCGACCGGCACGGTGCCATCGCACTAAAACCGAAACTCATTACGTACACGTCGTGCGTAAACACGGGTACGTTATAGCTCGTGTTTTATTTATGCGTACTATTATTATTGGTTTTTTTTTTATTCCCGAACACGTGTTATAAACGAAATGTATTTTTAAACAATCACGCGCCCCATCAATACCCCGACGCGTTTACAACTGCACGTCGTACAATACCTCTCTCAGCGTAAGTCATCTGTATAAATATCCAGGTGTCTTGCAGAATCCATTGGTTCGCTCGCGATTGTGACTTTTCTTCGTAAGCGGAAAAAACCAATTGTTGTGTAATTATTGCGAACTTGAAGTACGATTAATGATAAATTAAATATAATTGATACACTTTTTCTGTATTTAGATCAAAATTAACAGGGAGTACTGATTTATGTATTAAGCGTTACACTGCGCACATATAACCATCCGCATCATTGATTTGAGAACAATTAATACATTCACTTGTACACGGCATACACTGCCGTGGGGTAACGGGAGAATATTATAGCGTTATTGTGAACACACTGTATATAGTGTATGCCGGAGTCGCATAAACGGAATATCACCGTGACCATAGTTTTTTTATTTTTTTATTTCTTGCCCCTCTCGTACGTGACCAACTGGTCGTCGCTAAAGCCACAAGGACCGTGTTATTTATAACATATATACTGTGTGGTACGGGTATGCATGACGAACACGCGCGTGTGTGTGTGTGTTCTTAATATTGTCATTGCATTTTTTTTTTCTTCGGATCGTCATCGCCTGTGCGTGAAGCCGCGCACATCGGTCCCATGCGACAAACCGCAAACCCTATGTGCAAAGGTACTATAGTACCGTATATTACCTATACCTATAGTACCGTATATGGTCAAATCGCGGTTAATCCGTAACACTACACATCTGTTGTACACTGCTCATTACAAGTATTCTTATATATTATGGCGTGTACAGGAGTCTTCCGAATTTTAAATAACTCTCGCAGAAGTAAAAAAACCACAACGAATACTTGTTTGCATAATATTTTTATTGAAAACATAATTTAAATTAGATGCCGTTTAGAGTTCAAAGTTCGAAAATATGATGATTTAAAATTAATCCCAGTAAGACGGTGTCCGGATACATTGCCATAAAATGACTCGTCCGACATTAACAAGTTGTTAATAAAACTGGGGTCGATAGAAGTTATTTTTATACGCCTAATCGAATCGGCAGTAATCGGCAGTTCGATGGTTTCAGCTTCTGTATGATTTACATTTACTAGACGTTGGAAAAGCCACGCGCAGTGTCTGCGTTCTGTTTCAAGAATTTACATCTAAGTATACAAACGGAGACACCGTTCTACCGACATTAATTGTATGACATGATATTTTTATCCTTAGGACTCCTAATGACCTATAATGTAGATTTTGCGGTGTTCATCGTGAAACCCACGTGATTAATTTTATACATTTATTTTTGTTATTCGTTGATAGAATTTTCCCATCCTTCTGGAATACCATGTGTCAGTGTCAGTCCGGTCCATCCGATGATTCTCGTCAATTGTACTATATTAACAGCCAATCGACTTTCCATCGGGTATTTGAACTAACCCAC